ATATATATATATATTAATATATAAAGAAAATTTTTGAATATGTAATTATTTTTAATTTTTACTTTTTAATAGATTATTATATTTTTTAAATATAAAAAAAATTATATACTTCTTTTAAATAATTACATATAATCTTTAATTATATATAATTATTAGAGATACAAAATCTCAACTTCTTTAGTTCAAATAAAGAAAATTAACATTTTGAAGTTTAATTTCTTTTCTTACTTGGAGGAAGAAAAATAGCGAAAGAATAAAGAAATTTCGTAGACGCAAATTCTAAATTGGCATCCAAAAATATTATTCAATTTCAAAATGCTTTTCTAATATTTTCCTTGCTGTCTATCACTAGGATTTTGATAGAGCTAATACATAAATTAATCTTCTTTGGGGATTAGTGATTTTAAAATATTTTTCTCAAAATCCGACCTCAAGTAATTATCTAACTCATGTAAGAATCAAACTTACCATTTATTTAGAGAAAGTAAGCATCTCGATGTTCATTTGGTTATTAAGCCACTATATATGTTATCAATATATCGTGATTAAATTATTTCTATAATATTATTTAATAATAAATTATTTGCACTATTATTTAATAATAAATTATCATATATGATAAATATGTTAACTTTTACAATAATTATTTTAAAAATTATATCAATGATAATTTTTATTAGTTGGTGATATAAATTTTGTTGCACTGATCTATGACTGTTAAATATAATATTATATTAATATTTATTAAAATAAATTAGATGAATACATTATTACATGAGTTAAAAGTGTGTTTAATTCAATTGATGGATCTTTAGTACAAGGTTCAAATAAAAACTTGATGAATATTATCAAAAATAAGTATAAGAGATGTTGAAACTAAATAAATTCTACTATAGATAAACAAATTGTAGACAAAAGAATCTTAATTATATCAATTAACAAACCAGAAATCTGCTTTTCTTTTTATTATATGTCATATATAATATATTTATTTTGGTACAATTAACATATATAACATGTTAAACTTTATAAAATTTACTTTTCATAACCTTTTATAAAAGTAGATTTTATCATTGCGATCATTGTATTTATATCTTAAATTAAATCTAAATTTTTATTTAATTTTAAAATAAATTAATACTTTATAACATCATAAATTAGATAGATTCATGAGAATTTAGGTTTCATCTTCGTTATTGTTATTATAATTTTTCTTTCTAATAAAAAATGACTTTATTTCAATATTCAAAATATTATATAAAATGTAAATATATATATATATATATATATATATGAATATATAAATAATATAAAGAATTTAATTAGAATACACAATATTGTAATCAAATTATAAGTGTTTTGGGAACCATTCTTTAACGAAGTGGTTTTAACTATTTTTCTTCAAGAAAGATCAATTGGGAGCTGGTTTAAGAATTTAAAATAATATGACTTTCTAAGACTCTGCTAGGGTTCCTTTTGAGATGAAATGGGTGGCAGTATTTCTAGCTAGGAAGAAGACCTTCTTCAACATAGTAAGAAAAAGGTTAAGGGGGGAATGAACAACGTGAATGTTAGGAAACTATAATGGATGCAAATTTAGTACGTTATAGAGATAAATTGTTGAACCTTGTGGGTATGACAATGGATGCTTTGAAAACTAAAATAAGTCTACCTGAGAATGATTTGTTAAAAATTCATAGTCAGATAATGAACAATATAATTAAGATACAATATTATAATATGCTCGAGTAAGGCTTAGAAAGAATTATAAATCAATGAGAGATTTATTCTTATTAATCTTGAACAACGTGAGAGAAGATTGCTCTCTTCTTCGTAGGAGATGAAAAAGCAGAAGACAAAAAATGTTTTTCTCCCTATGAACTGAACTGACTAATTGGGTACCAATTCTATATATTTACCAGTAGAGATCAAGGACCTTTCAACGGGCTACTGAAAAGTCCAACCTATTACGGACCATTCATTAGAAGCCTAATATGCATTACCCATAAATTAATAATAATGTGCAATATTATTGATATTAACATATAAATATAATTTATTAATTAATGTTAATTTATAATAATAATAATAAAATAGAGAATAATTATATAAATATAACATTCTCCCACTTGGATAACATTAATCAATAAATTAAATATATCAATTACAACACAAGCACATATATAAATTAACAATATAAGAAATATAAACATGAATCACAAAGATAGTATCCAATAGGGATACATACCTTATACTTATATTTCATAAATAATGGATAATAAAAAACATAATAAGTATGTAATCCCAAAAATGGTCCAAGAAATTTTATATGCTAAAAGAGATGTAATGAAAATGGCATCATTGATAAATTTACATCTCATGAAAACCATAATAATAAAAATGCAAATTTCACACTCACACTAACCCAATACATCAAAAACTTAACCGCACCCATATGAGTTACATGATTTTGAAAAATTACAACAGCTAAGCCTTTAATCAATGGATCTGCTAACATATTTTCTGTAGCAATATGCTTAATTCGAGTTTGAAAATCCAAAACTTATTCTCTAACAAACAAGAATTTTATATCAAAATGCTTTGAATGAGTAAAACTTTTGTTGTTTTGAAAAAAATGCAAAACAGTAGTATTGTCGCAATATATCTCAAGTGGCTTTGAAATACTTTCAACAATATAAAAGCTAGAAATCAAATTTTTAAGTCACACAACTTGACAAGTAGCCTCATAATAAGCGACATACTCTGTCTCCATGGTAGAGGTAGTTGTAAGAGTCTGTTTAACACACTTCAAAGAAATAACTCCTCCTGCCATTATAAAAACAGAATCAGAAGTAGATTTTCGGTCGTCAAGGCAACCAGGAAAATCAAAATCAAAATAACCAATGACCTGAAGTTGATCAGACTTCTTATAGGTCAACATATGATCCTTGGCTCCCTACAAATATCTTTTTAACAACTTTCTAATGACCCAAATCCGGGTTGTTCAAAGTATCTCCCTAAAGCATTAGCAACGAAAGCAATATCGGAACAAGTACAAATTTGAGGATACATCAAACTACTAATAGCGGAAGCATATGTGGCCTTTTTCCATTTCAACTCTATCATTATCATTTTGAGGACATTGAGATTTAGAGGGTTTTTCACCTTTTTTAAATAGGTGCAGCACACAGGGAGCAAAATTGCATGTTAAATCGTTTGAGGATTTTATCAATATACCATCTTTGAGACAATCCAAGAATGCCACGTGACTAATCATGGAAAATCTGAATGCCTATAACAATAGAGACATCACCAAGATATCTTCAATATCAAAGTGACTATTTGACATAAATTTTGTCTCAATCAAAAGTTCAATACTATTACTAGCAAGAAGAATATCATCAACATATAAGACAAGAATGATAATGAGTCCCACTAGTCTTCAAGTAAATTAATGCACTGATATGAAACATTTTCCTTGAAGCCAAAAGAAGTGACCACTTGATCAAATTTCAAATATTATCATATTTAGACTTCTCAAAAAGAGACAGATACTGACCCTTTTGAGCTTTGTCAAAAGTCTTAAATTTCTCACCAACTGAATATATTCTATGTGAAAAGTATAATATAGTCTATGTAAAAAGTATAATTGACCTTAGTAGTTAAAACACGTGCATTAGACTCTAAGTCCTTAGCTAACAAATAATCTATTACACCAAATAACATACTGATAGTGCATATATATTAGGCAAAAATATAATTTTCGTCTCTTATATTATTTATTAGTATCAATTTAGTCTCACTTTAATTAATTGAATCAATTTAGTCCCACGTCTTTAAAATGTATATCAATGTTTGACCTTCCATTTTCTCTGTTTAAATATTTAACGGATGTGACACGTGTCATGCCACATGTCATGCTATCATGTCACGTGCATGACATCATGACACGTGGCATGACATCATGACATGTGGCATGATGTCATGCCACGTGTCAAATCTGTTAAGTATTTAAACGAAGGAAATGGAAGATCAAACATTGAGATACATTTTAAAGATATGAGACTAAATTGATTCAATT